GTTCTCTTATCTCAGTTTTCTTCGTGTTAGTTGCTCTCTCTCTCTTCTTATTCTGTGTATATGTATATATGTATGTATATATGTTGCTAATGTTTGCCGCCTGTCGTAATATTTCTCTGTTACTTACTAACAACCGTCCCACGTATCGATCAATAACAGTATACTTTTTCTCTTTGTTCTGGAAGATATTGATACCAATAATAATGAATGAAGGTGAACCAATACATTAGAGATAGTAATAAGACATAAAAAAAACTTTTTTTTTCTTTACAAGAAAAAAACAGTACAAGAGAAAATGAATATCTAAATAAAAAAAAAGGTTGATGGTTAATATAAAATATTTTGATTACGATCGTAGAAAAGAAAAAAAAAGGTCAATGATAAAAGGAGAAAAGATATTTATCGGTAGACAAATGCGTCAAACTATTAACATTTTACCCTATCATATATCAGAAAAAGAAAAAAATACCGACGAGTGGACTAGTCTTTGTTGTATATTTACAATGGAGGGACAAAGAACTGAATGAACAAATGTCCAAGGACAACAAACGATAGTGATAGAATAAAACCAATCACATTCATAGCTTTTTAAGATATCTTAAAAGAGTAGTGAGCAAAAAGATATCCATTACATCATTGATGTATTAAAGATGACACATTTATTTAAAATTCAAATTAGAAAATGTCGACTATGCGCGGACATCTGTCTGACCATAATTGATCGATAGAATCGCCGTCAGCGACGGGTTATAAGTATTAGTATTGAAGAAGGAAGAAAATAAACATGATTGGCAATTTGTTGAACGAGTACGCCAATCGTTAAAGTTTTATTTTTTTTATCAATATATTAGATTCATACGCCCTCTACATATTAGCTTCATTATAAATCAAGTATTTGCAAAAATGCCTTTTGGATGAATCTGATTTCGATATAGGAATAACTGATGAAATCTTCTTGTCAATAACAACATAACATAAGAATATTTTTTTCGTTCTTTAAAAAAAAAATGTTATTTTTTTTTCTAAGGTAAAAAGAGGTCATTGAATGGCCTTCACTCTCTTTACGAACCACTTTATCGTACTTGTCATATTTCTTTAAGTATCATTATGTTAACAAAATATTTACTTTTTATTCTTATCTGGATTAAAAGTTATATCTGTAATTTCTATTTATAGATTTTATGTTTTTATTTTTTGATATTGTTTCAAATTTAATTTTCTATGTTGTAAAGCATGCTGAGGCTTGATCATAGTTATTTATAGCCACATGTATATTTATCAGTAATTTCTTGTTTTTCATTATATCTGCCATCTATTTATAGTTTTCTTTCCAAGTACATCTTGTTCTTTGTTCTTTTTTTGGTCCATTCTTCTAAAATTACTGCAAACAGATCTTATAAAATAAGAAATTATATACGTCACGAGAACATATATTGCGACGATGTTACTATTACTATTACTAGAAAAAAAAATCGTCATTTTTGTTGTCAATAGAGAATTCTCTAAGCAAAAAAAAACCAGGACAAAGAATAAAAATAGAAGAAGAAGAAGAAGAAGAAGAGAAAGAAAAGAATATAGCTTTAGTTATATTTCATCTCTGTTGTGCTCGTACGTGTCGGTCGAGCACGAACGCTACATAGGTCTATATAACGAAAACATGAAAAAAACATACTACATTACAGTATTGCTGATATTTTTAGCTGTCTCGTTTTTCTTTCTTTTCTTCTCGGCTTTTTTATCTTCACTTAATACGTGTATGTTTCTGTCAGGATATGACAACAGGTCGTTCCTGGTACTTGCTTTTAGATTTATATTTTCTTTTTCTTTTTTTTATTTCTAAAACCGACTTCTCTTAGAGTGAATGCTTTTGACATAATATATCTTCGTATATTTGCAATTGATGTTGAATTCTAATAAATATGAATAATATTTATTGATGGTAAGCTGCTTAAAATAATTTTTTTTTCGAAATTTATTCATCAACAAATGACCTACTAATAATATTCGCCATAATATTTACACAAAGTTAAGCATAATCATTTCTGTACTTCTATAGAATATTTCGTGTATTAAATTGATTTATTCAAGTGTTATTCTCAATGGATTACAACATTTTATCCATTGATGTATAGGAGCATGAAATAAGAATGTTGCGTATATTGACAATTATCGCCTTAGGGTCAAAGCCGAAGATTCCATAATAGACAAAAATAGAAAAAAAGAAAATAGAATGCTTGATGAGTGTCTATTGAAAAACTAGGGAAAAAAAAGAGGATACATCATGTTATTTAGATTCATTTGATAAGAAAAGAAAAACAACGAAAGAAAAAAAAAATTCTGACAGAATATCATAACCAAATGTATTAATCGATAAAAACAAAATAAAGATGCAGACAAAAATAGATTTTATATCCAGACTATACCTTTATGAAAAATCATCTATCATATCTATAAATAGTAAAATATTTTTATGAAGCACACCATTACAATCCGTGCATAATTAGTAAACAAATGAGAAAATCAACAGGTAAGATATATATATATTATATAATAAATGGCGTAGCGTATTTTTTCTTTTTGAAAAAAAATATATAAAAAGAATTTTGATACTTGGGAACATATTCTTTCTTTTTCTTTTTTTTGCTTTTGAACAAATGACTAGCAGCTTGTGGTGATTATTTTTTCTTCTCTCTTCCGTTCTTCCTATTCGTGCAGAATGTTATGTCTTCTTGTGACTATTATTATTTTTGCTGCGGCATTCATTTATTTACTCTGTTCGTCTTTTTCTCATTTTCTTTTTTCTCTTCAATCCATTCATAAAAAAAAAAAGAAAAGACATGGAAAAAGGTATATATATATATTTATATATATATACGATGTTTTTTCTCATATTAAAAACAAAATAACGATATTACCTACAAAATATGTTGTTCACCAGCTGAGAATAGAACGAAATTCAGCATGTCATATTAACCGTGCATTTATACGTATACGAGCAATCTAATCAAGCAAGTTTTCATACAAAAATAACTATTTTAAATAGGTTTGTTGACAAATACGAGTGCGCACACCCGTAAGAGAAAAAATAAACTGTTAGTGTAAGCAGGCAGAGAGAGAGAGAGAAGAGGGAAAAACAAGATGGTGTACTACCATGTATATTTTTGCATTTTTTGAAGTTGACGAATAGACGTAGCAGTAACGCGATAGAAGAACGCGATTGATAGCAATAGAGTAATGCGCATGACGTACGTAAAGCATAGTTAATATTACGTGACTGTAACAGCTTCGTTTTTACTTCAATTTTCTTTTTACGTATATATTTAATAATAATGTAAATAAAACGAACCTAAATAGTATTAATCAACTAATGCACAAAAATATAAATTATATATATATATATTCATAGATATTAATGATTATTAGAGAAATAAGACATCGTTTGTATTTTTAGTATACATGATATACGATAAAGTTTGATATTATTATTTTAAACTAATATCTAAGACATGAGTTTATAAGATAAGTTGAAATATTTCTTCTTCATATTAAAATGACCTTTGTTAACCCTATTCTTAAATAATATGTTTTTGTCATGCTTCATCTTTTCTCTTTTTTTTT